CTTTTCCAGCGAAACAAGCCGAGCACTGGCTGCAAGTAAATGGTTTCTCACCGGTATGTGTTTGCATGTGCCGTTTTAAATTTCCTTTTCCAGCGAAACAAGCCGAGCAATGGCTGCAACAGAATGGTTTTTCACCGGTATGTGTTCGCATGTGGCGTTTTAAATGTTGTTTCCAAGCAAAACGGGCCGAGCACTGGCTGCAAGCAAATGGTTTCTCACCGGTATGTGTTCGCATGTGTTGTTTTAAATCTCCTTTTCCAGCGAAACAAGCCGAGCACTGGCTGCAAGTAAATGGTTTCTCACCGGTATGGGTTCGCACGTGCCGTTGTAAAGTTCTTTTTAGAGGGAAACAAGCCGAGCAATGGCTGCAAGTGAATGGTTTTTCACCGGTATGTGTTTGCATGTGTTGTATTAAACTTCCTTTTCGAGTGAAGCAGACCGAGCAATGGCTGCAAGTAAATGGTTTCTCACCGGTATGCGTTCGCATGTGCCGTTTTAAAGTTCCTTTTCCAGCGAAACAAGCCGAGCACTGGCTGCAAGTAAATGGTTTACTTGTCGTGGTTGGAATATGATTTTGAATCTCATTTTTAAAATCTTGTTCGCTATCTTGCTCTACGTGTGTGCATTCAAAGTTATCAGTCTGAAGAGGGTCTTCGGTTTTAATCTCAATACTGGTATGTAACTCGTCGTTCCAATTTCCATTTTCATTTTCTCCTTCCGATTTTATCCTTGTGGAAAGACCGATGAGAGAATTGGAGGAACTCGAAGCTCTGTTGAGGTGTTCAACAGACTGTTTTTCTTCACTTGGTGAAGTTTCAATTTCATTTTTCACATGGCAAGGTGTATGAGAGGCAAATGCCGTGTCAAATACAGATTCTGCTTCCGGTTCAGTTAACTCACACTTTTTGAATATAGTGTTACCAACCTCTGGGATTATGTCCTGTGGATCCTTCACGTTAGTTCCGCCTGCAGAAACCTCTGAGATTCTGTCTTCAGGAGCGCTAAGTCCTCCTTCGGATGTGCATTTGAATTCGGATGTATCCATGTAGAATCCTGAACAGAAGAAGTTTCGAATGTTGTGAGCAAACTTTGGGAAATATTAAGGGGTACCACATGGTGTGGAAGAAAAATAAAAAATTCAGGCCGGCTAGGTTGGCAGCGCGGTCAGCGCGTCTGACTGTAGGTCAAAAGGTCCCGGGTTCGAATCCTGGTGGTGGCGACAAACTTTCATAGAACTGACGGGTGGATCTGCAAAAACGGATTCCACTCGACCTTAATCTCTGAAAATTTGAAGGCCGGGAGCAAGATGTCTACAAACCCCAATCCGACGCTCATTCAAAGTTGCAGAATCCTCATATAGATAAAAAACCCCAAATAACTTTGAAAAAAATAAAAATAATATTAATAAAAAAAAAGGGTAACTCTAGAAATCTGAGTATCCTGAGCGCTTGATTGCAGAATGGACCACTAAACAAGGCACGAATTCAAGCATTATGATGCAGGTTTCTTCACCAGAATTTCAAGTAGAACACGATTTGCACAACGAAAATTACTGAAACCAATTCCTAACGAAGATATTAACCTTTTCATTTCACATTGGTTACGCGGATTTTAAACTGCCCGCTCACAAGAAACTCAAAGCTCTACGTGAGTCAAATCGCGCACTACAACGGTTTCAGCAAGCCTCTCAATCGAGCGATGTTCATTTCCCACCATGAGTTGTTCAAACTATAAGCAATTTGCTATAGCTGAACCAAAGCGTCAAGATTAAGGTTCCCAGATTTTTATATCGCAGAGACTGTCATGATAACGTTTAGCGCGCGATGTGAATCACGTAGAGCATTGTGTTTTCATGAGCGGGTGGTTTGAATTCACGCATTAAGAATCATTAAATATCTTTGTAAGGAGTTAATTTCGGTAATTTTCGTTGTGTGCATCGTGTTTTACGTAAAATTTTGGTTAAGAAACATGTATCAGAATTCTGAAATTCGTACCTTGTCTAGTGGTTCATTGGGGCAAGAAACTTCAAGAGTAGTTGCACACATCCCCCCCCCTCCCGTACAGTTTACAGTACAGTAGTGCAGAGGTGCATGTTCTTTTATGTCTCCGTGACAGGGTCCCAAAATGTACCGAAGAAATCCAGGCTGGAATTCGTTCTGGAAAATATGTGTTCCGTTTTTAAAATCCTGAAAAGAATAAATTTCCAATGTCGTTGGCGAGGATAGTAACAAGTTAATGAGTTGTCAAGTATATCATACTCCGTAAGATAAAATCATTGGAGTAACGGGGAATGCATAACGTCGAGGAGCGAAGCGCTTCGAGGCGTCGAACCGCATAGCGATCAGGGGGCATAGCCCCATTGCTCTATTGGACTAGCAAGAGGAGACATACAGAATGTCACGGAATCGGATATCTAACAATGCATCGAGTAATATAATTGAGGTAAGAAGCTTCAGAAAAAGGCTTCGTCTTTATTCACAGTGAAGCAGCGGTACCGCAAGGAGAAACGCCGTATGCGCCCTTAAAAATTGCCAAATTTCCTTCGATAAAATGCAAATTTTCAAGGAAATCCATACATACTACTCTTGGAATTTTTCAGGGAATTTTATGCGCGATTCAGATCAAAAATCGCCGTACCTCGATTTTAAATTGTATAGGTATTTTTCTCTCACGCAAACAGCGCTATTACATGAAAACCCTAATACGCCGGAGTCGAGCCGAAAATAAAGGATGACGATTGTAAAGCGTTACTTTCCAGCAAAAATTGAAAAAGTTTTAAACAGAGATACGGCGTTATTACTTTCGACGTGGAAAACCAAGGGGTCTGCCTCCTCAAATGTAAACATTGACCGGTGCCCGGAGTGCCATTGTTTACAAGTTCCCAGCGACTAACGAACCAGGGCAATGGACCACTAGACAAGGTACGAATTTAAGCGATCTGATACATGTTTCTTAACCAGAATTTCATGTAGAACACGATTCACACAACAAAAATTACTGAAACCAACTCCTAACGAAGATATTAACGTTTTTATTTCACATTGGTTACGAGGAATTGTAATAACCTGGAAGTTAGGTGATGCTGCCTTAACTTCAGATGTCATCTTGTGATCTCGTAGTGGTGAGGTGACATGAACTAAAACACGCCTGGTCAGTATAGTTTGCTGTTGAAAGTTAATTTCACAAGCACGCCCAATTTAATGCAATTTTCTCGAAATTCCTCAATTTTCCCGCTTCTTATGTCTTGAGTTGGGAGCATGTTACTTGCTAGGTGCATAGGAATGTCTGAAAAAATGATCGTATAATTATTAGATGAAATATTACAACTAAAAGAGGCGACGCTGAGCAGTCGGCAACTACTGCCTGAAGAGCCCGTCTTAAAGAGGAAGAAGTGGTTCCAAAAAGTTGCTTTGAGCGGGAGCATGTCATACATTGTAACAATCAATTTCTTTCAACACTTTATTAGTAGTGTACGTGCTTGACAAATATTTTTACAGGAAATTAAAAAGCATACAGAAATGATAGCAAAGAGAAAATGTCAAAAAGAGGAACAGCTAAAGCGTTATTCGAATGTCCAGAGCTTTGCAAGAATTATCCAAACGACAGAGTCTAAATAATTCAAGGGGAACAATTTCGGATCAATTATAATCTTTTTCCTGAATTTAATTCGTTAAACTAGGCTCTAAGCGATTAGGATTCGAGAGGACGCTTATTGATAACACACTAAGGCCTCGTTATTGACAAATATCAAAGAAATGATTATCAATTTACACTCTTTGAAACTAGCGGGTTATGGTTGTTGAAATTCATAGACAAAAGAATAGTAGACAAAGAAGACGAAGCATCGCGCCAGTTTTTCTTTATCTATAGCTTTGTCCATTGATCTCAAGAAACGGACCGCTGTGTTCCTCCGAGGAAATTCGACGTTCAAATTATTTCGAGAAGAAGACGCTGACATGTAGCCGCAGCCACCGATCCTCTTTTCTGTGAAGCACAGATCTTATTACGGTGGGATGAATTTCATAACTAGCATAAAGTCCAGTCTTTTAGATTCACTGTTCAAACGGTACTAACCGAGGAGGGTATGGATTCGATCGACATGAATCGATCGAAAAATGAAAGCGTGAATCGATCGACACTCATTCGATCGACAAATTACTAAAAGAACGGTGTCGATTCGATCGACATGAATCGATCGAAAAAGTAAAACGTGATTCGATCGACATGAATCGATCGACACCGATTCGATCGACATGAATCGATCGACTGCGATTCGATCGACAGTTAATTTTAAAACACACGTGTCGATTCGATCGACATGAATAGATCGAAAAAGGAAAACGTGAATGGATCGACATGAATCGATCGACACCGATTCGATCAACTCACGAGTTTGTCGATCGACTTAGTGGTTTGTCGATCGACTCATGGATTTGTCGATCCACATACGGGTTTGTTGGTCCATTCACGGGTTTGTCGATTGATTCAAGGTTGTCGATCAAATCGGTGTCGATCGATTCATGTCGATCGATTCACGTTCTCATTTTTCGATCGATTCATGTCGATGAAATCGACACCGGTTTTTTGACAACTTGTCGATCGAATCGGTGTCGATCGACTCATGTCAATCGATTCATGTCGATCGAATTGACAACGGTTTTTTATTAAGTTGTCGATCGATTCATGTCGACCGATTCACGTTTTCATTTTTCGATCGAATCCATACCTTCCCTAGCGAAGATCAAGCAGGAAACCAACTGTGGACGCTCTTCAAGAGTCCACAGGGGAAAAACAACTTTGTCTCCACCATGAATAGAGAATGAGGATGAACCATGATTTCCTTCCGGCAATCGAGTTCTTGCATTTGTCAAAGATTTGCGATTCAAGTACTTCTTCATACGGCCAATTTCTCTGGAAACACGATGGTGCCACTAATTTTCTTTCAAGCTCGAAAAATGCTGTCAAAGATCCGACCGTGATGGAGGGGATATCCTACGCTACTTAGAGAGTCCACATACAGTCGGAGGGTAGCTACTTTGTTTGAGGACTTCGAAGTTGAAAACAGGGGCACCCAGCTGATGATTTTCTCCCGATCTGTGCATGACGAGTTTGACTATGAGATATAAAGGTGGACTCTCAAAGTATAGCGTAGGATATGTCCTCTATGACCGCCGGAACTAAGAAAGCATTTTTCGAGATCAAGCTCATTTTCCTCTCAGAAAATTAGTGGCACCATCGTGTTTCTAGCGAAATTTTGTAGTAAACTGCGGACATTAACCGCATATTCCTGACAAATGCAAGAACTCCAGTCTCATTCATTTGCAGGAGACTCAATTTTTGAATAGTGTAACTACCAAATAAGGTAGGAGTGGATTCATTTTTACCCCCCCCCCCTTCCAGAGTAATAGTACTAACATATTCAGCACAGCGCTGCCTTCCGATGAAGTCCTCATCGAGGGTGTCTAATTTACAATAGAAACAGGGAAAAATTACCACGAAATGTTTTCCAGCCCGTATGAGTTTACAAGTGAATCATTAAATGACTTTTGTGAGGCCGGACGACTTGTAATGACTGTGAGAGTGGGATTTGTCCCTAAAAAGCGATTTCACATCTTACTTCAGATGGGTTTTTTCGGGAAAAGGTGCATGGAATTAACAACAGCCGCAAGGTCGCTCGACAATAAGTGTTCTTATTCATATGTTTAGTCAAAGACCAGTTACAATAAAGGAAACGAATCAAAGACTGCAGCAGAAAAGTTTCTCACCGCTATGCGTTCAGACAGGAAACTTTAAACGACTCGTGTGATAAAAATAGGCAGAAAAATACGTACACCTGTTCAGTTTCAGAATCATATGTGTTCACATGTATTATATGAAATTACCTTTTTGAGCAAAGAAAGCCGAGCAACGGCTGTAACTAAAAAAATTGTTACTCGTACTTAGTATGTGTTAAATTATATTTCCTATTTCAGCGAATAACACACTCAGCAATGGCTGGAACAAAACAATTTCTAACCAGAATGTGCTCACATGCCGAGTTATATA